CTGACAAGTAGTCAGGTACAAAGGTGTTAAGTGAATGTTTCAGAATTTCCTGCAGTGATAACACTGTTGTTATGCCAACTTGTTATATCAATATTGTGACCTGAATTTGTTGGAAGGCAACTTGTTTTTGCTTTAAATGTTGCACTGTGGGTTGGTTTTATTGTGATTTATATTCTATTAGCAAAGCTCCTGTGCAGGTAGTGCGTGTATGTGAATAATAATTGCAGCTTAGTTAGGAGTTAGTCTTATGTAGATTTTTGCCCATAGGATTAGAATGGGTCAGGAAGAAAAATGTGACTTTCTTAGTGCTGATTTTTGGTATTTTCTCAATGCAGTCATGCAGAATTCTGCTTGCAAGGCAAACAGTGTTATCAATGCAGCTAAAAGAGATGAAAGATAGGCTCTTGGAGGGGTTACAGATGAGGATTTCTGAAAGGAAACTTGTATATTCTCTACTGCTCAAGAGACTGAATAGTTTACGAAATGGATGGAGTGTAATATGCTTAAGTATTGAATTTTATTTAACTGTATGCTTGTGGGAATAGTGATTTTAATCTTTACATTCATTGCTGTGCCCTATGTATTGGGATAATACTCTCTTATTGCCTCCTCTGACACTTAGAAGGAGGGGTTTCCTTTCTCATATGCGAGCATGGCTATGGATTATTCCTCCTGGATATTACTGCTTTGTTTGCAGAAGCCTCTCTGATTCTTCAGGAAGTCAAGGTTTCCCCACTACAAATCTCATTGTGTCACATTGCAGGCTTTTTCCAAGCCTCGCTTGCAGCACAATCTTTTTATCTCTTTCTGCTTGTTTTTTATATTCCTTCTTGACTATATTATTGTGTAAAAAGAATAGAGCGACTGGAAGAAGAGAGCTGGTTTTCTGTGGAGATTTTCAAATAACCAAAGTATTAAATCCTTCTGTCATCATAATGCAAAACTTCTTTTTGCATGTGTATGTAACCAGCCTCTGTAATCAGAGGTGGAAGCTTGGGATGCTCTTTCCTGCCTCTTTTACTTATTTGCACTTCTGTATAACGAAATGAGTGATTATCTTGGTTATTACTGATTACTGCTTTAAAGCAGAAATACCCACTTCATAGTAACTGGGAGCTAAATTCAGAGATCAAACAAGCCATTTTGAGAAACAGGAATCACTTTGCCGAAGCTTCGTGGAAGACCTTGATGATGATTGATTTGGAAACTTGCCTGTCACATTTTTGGTTTAAAATGTGACTTAAGTGATCTACGTGACTGTTACGTATTAAAGTTTGTTTGCTTCCTGCTTTTGTGGTGTTCTCTCAGTTGATGATGGACTGAGGTCATCGAGAAGGATGTCAGAAGAGGATGATAGCACTGATAACACAGATGTTTTCTAAGAATCAAAGCTTTTCACGAGATTTTTTTAGAAGTTTTAAGTCTTTTTGCATTGTGAAAGTTGTTTCAAGGGTGCCGTTCCAAGGTTTTAGTGCGTGTTTATTTTCTTTTTCTGAAGAAATGCTTTTGGAACGTGTAACCTGTTGGTTTTGAAGCAGTTATTGCCAGTCATTGACTTTATGTAAAAAGTCAAAGCTGAGTAGTAGAAGCACTTTTATAACCTCTTTTTTGTGCCTGATGAAGAGGTGACACAACTTACTTTTGTTAATAAAACCAAGAATTGATGGTTAACTGTCAGGTTTTTATTGTGTGAGTTGGAACCTACTTTTGAATATTTTATACTTTTGGAAACTACTCTTAATTTCTTCTTAAAGTAATAAAAAAGAATGATTGGACATTGTATTTAAGGAAAATGGCCTTTATGATTTGAAAGGCTTGAAAGACTTTTGCTTAGGTGCTCTTTAAAATATATTTTGCTGTCTAGGTGATCAGAATTAAAATTCTGTGAAAATTAACTGCACTCGTGTAGCCGTAGACTACTCTGTCTCTTCATATTCCTCATGGATAAGGAGCCATGGACTCACACAGCAGATACATAAAAGATGTAAAAAGTGATCAGATGAGAAAGCTAAAATTGCTTGTGATACGTTGTGTCGTCATCTGTTGGTATCTTTTATTTTAATGGAAAACTTTTGAGAATTGGGGCGGGGGATAAAAGAGGAGGCAAGGTGTGGACTGTGGGAGCACAGCTGGAGAAGCTGCCATGGAAGAGCATGAGGAGAAATGGAAAATCAGTGGTCAGTGCATTTAGTTGTTTTCTTATCTAGATTGTCAAAGCAGTGAAGCAGAACTCAAGTGATGGTTCTTTAGAGGGACACATTACTTCTTTTCTGAAAGGAAAACAAAACTCGCTTTATACTAACATCGTTAATTCTATCAATAAAACATTAAATAATAGTAGTAATAAACCCATGGTAGTTTAGAGAATTTTATGAATTGCTTTCTGGATTGTCTGTGTATGGATCTGTGTTGTACTCCCTTGTTCCTGAATCTCTGCTGTGTCATTACAGAAAATTAAATATAGGATTGAAAGCATGGCTAGTGGCCAGTGGAATGTGTCCTCAGTAAAATTATTTTAAACAAAAATAAAAAATCAACTGGAACCTTTTCTGTGTGTACGAGCTCAAACAATATGTAACAGCTGAAAAAGAGAGTTGCAGTGTGCTTATGTTCTCCCTTAATTCTTGGTTCAGCATTACCTTGAGATGGTGGTGGGGAATACCTTGTGTAAGGGGAAATGTTATAAATAGGACGTGGTTATGCTTCACGACACTTCTGCAGAAAGCTCTTGTGTTGTCTTCATTTGCAACCATTAAACAAAAGTGGATCAAAACCTTAAGCTGGCTATAAAACCAGCTATGACTGTTCTCTGAAGCATCATGGTTAAGGAGTGTTGACGAAAGAGGCAACAATTTAAATCTGTCCAAAAGAATGTGTGGGTGTGGCTCAAAATGTTACCTGTGAGAATGTTTTTACTAGAAATCATAACATGCTTAGATTCATTTTTCTTGTAAGAACAGCAAAATTTTCAAACTCAATTGGAAATGTGGCACAGCTACAGTAGGGAAGCTTGTTAAAGCTAAAAGAGGCAACTACTAGCAAAATACTTGCCACCTGCTGAGTGTTAAAGATGCCATGCTGGAGCTGCAGACTTAAAGCATGCCAGTTATCAAAAGAAGTGTGAAAGGAAGCTGGCATGGCTGAACATCAGGCAAAGATAGTGATTAGAAAGCTGAAGTATTTCCAAATGAGGAAAATTGTGTAAAATCAGGTCAGCAGAATGTAAAAGCATAAGACAGAAAAAAAAAGAATTTGAGTAATAAATTTTTGAAAGCATTTGACAATAACTGCATTTCAGAACATTAGTAGTAGCAAACCAACCAGGGGCCACGGGGCCACAGGAAGATCACTGTACAAAAGGAGCTTTCAGAAGACAGGGCGATAGCAGGAAAACTTTGCATCTGTGTTCAGCATTGAAAATTTTGGAAAGGTTGCCCTGCCAAGGACTTTTTCTGGGTAACTTATCATCTTGAACAGGCGTTTGTTAAGAGTTTAGAGAACAAATGGACAATGTAAAAGCAAGCTGCTAGAATCAGTGTTGATTCAATAACTTTACAGAAAGTGAGGAGTGAAGCAAGTTTACTGAGTGGTGTGTAAGGACCCCGTTAGCCAGACACCTTTTGGTGGTTGGATATGGACGCAGCGTGAGACCAGTGTTTAGAGGGTGTTTACAGAGTGTGTTGGAGGTGCTGATGGCTAACTACAGTAACATGCAGAATTAATGGACACGTGGTAATTATAATTGATTGTGGAAAGATCAACAGAGCTTTGTGAAAGAAGTTGTGCCTCAGATCTTCTGGAGCTCGCTAAAGGAGTTAGCAAGAGTACATGTAAAGAAGTTCCAATTTGCTATGGTAGGTGGGATTTCCAGAATTCATTTGTTAGCCTTCTGTAAGAGAGGGATAAGTCCTTGTATGGATAGTTAGCTAATAATGAGAGATAGATAATTAGAAACAAGAAATTAAGCAGATAGGGTGCTTTTCAGAGGTGAGTAGTAGGTGTTACAAAAAATATTTGGTATAGAGGACTTGAGAGCCAGCTTTGAGTAACTGCAGTTAAGTCCAGAGTGGATAAGGAGGTGGCAGTTAAGCTGAGGTGAGGCATGTGGAACCTGTAACTCTTTGCAGGAAGAAACACTAATTCGGGATTATAATAGATAGTTCTGTGGAAGCATTCAGTTAGGCTCAGAAAGATTAATTCCATAAATTGTTAGGATAACAACAGAATAAAGCAAAACCAAACCAGCAGTTTGGTAGGCTGGAGTGAGGACAGGACTGTGATTGCTAAAGAAAATATTTGAGGATGTGAATTTACAAGAGTTTGAACAAACAGAAATTGCAGCTGTGGTGTAGCCACCTGTTAACAGTTCCAGTCCCTTTCTTCCCTCCCTTTCACCTTGTGTTGGTACTGGAGCTTTCCTTCCCTCCCAGAGCGTTCAGGGAGCTGTACCAAAGGCAAACCTTTCTGAAAATGTGAGGCAGAACAAACAAATCAAGTTATTTAGCTTCCTGAACAGGCTGTTTCTGGGAAAAACAGATGCCATCATAGGAGAGAGGAGCACATGAAGAGGAGGAAAGTGGAGAGAAAAGGTGATGCTTAGGACTGCTGGGACAGAAAGCTGTTCTCTTTGAGACATGTTGCTGTTCCTCAACCATCTTTAGCTTACACTCTGCAAGACAAGGGGACACAGGGGCATGCTCTGGGTAACAAAATATATCGAACAGTTAGAAAATGAGTTTCAGTTTTGGTTTTTTGGTTTTAATAATTTTTTAATCAATTCTCCTTCAGGTAAACCTGACAACAGGTATAAATTTGAATGCTTAAAGATTCCAGGTTTTAGTATTTCTAGTAGTGTGGAGTCCTTAGTTTCTTTTTTGTACAGAGTATCCTTGGGTTTTCAAGTTTATGGTGCCCTAATCAGTAAATTCTCCTGTCCTTAAAATTTAGAAAACCAGTGCAATATTTGAATGTCTTAAATTTGTATTTTTATTTCTTTACAGGATCTGGAGTTTCATGGAGTAATGAGATTCTACTTCCAAGACAAAGCAGCTGGAAATTTTGCAACGAAGTGTATCCGTGTCTCTAGTACTGCTACAACTCAAGATGTGATAGAAACTCTTGCAGAGAAGTTTCGGCCAGACATGCGAATGTTGTCATCCCCTAAATACTCACTTTATGAGGTGCATGTCAGCGGAGGTTAGTGTTTGTTCACAAAGTCTTTCCTGCATCTACACCACCTTCCTATTCACCCCCTGCCAAAATATCTTTAGATTTGCCTACCCCTTCTGAACCACATAAGACTTGGGTTTTTTGTTCCTAAGAATGTCGCTACTTATTATTGCGTGGGGGAGTGGTGTTTCAGACTGGTAAGTATGCATATCAAGCTTGCAGTTTATGTAAGTTATGATGATGGTCTGTTAAATGCTGTACTTGACATCCTGTTACTTTATTTGTGTTAGTGAGAGAGTAGCTATTTTTAGGACTACTAGGTAAAGACTAAATTTATAATGGGAGGAGTATTAAATCGGAGTACTTGAGTACATCCTCAGTTCTTTGATGTGAGCATTTGATAGGCAGCCTTATAATGCAAGTTCCTTCATTGCTACACAGGAGCAAGTTCAACGTAGTATTGTTTGAAGCCACTGTGTTTCTTAAACAGATCCTTTCTTGTTACCTGTGAAGAACTTGGATATCTAGATAGCCGTTTGATGCAACTTGCATTTGTGTTATCCCAACCTCAGTGGAAAGTTTCAGGTTGGAATGTAGTAGTGTGTATGGTGATGGTGGTGGCAGGAATAGGAGAAACTAGCTTATTGTAATGCTTTTTCTGTTTTTGTACTTCAGAAGCCAACACAGGGGGTTTAACTGCCTTAAATTCTGCTTTTGAGAGACTGAAAACGATTTGAGTTAAAGAATAAAAATTTCTTGGGTCATGTGTCATTTTTCACAGTGTATGAATGATGACTTGATATGAATGATATGGTATTAGGGAAAACTGCATGCATCATCACTATCTTCAGCAATTAATATTATGTATTTTTTCTGCTTTTTGTTCTTTAAAAATCTCTTTAACGCTGTACTTGTAGTCAAAATTAAATGGGAACTTGCTCTGCAAAGGAAACAGACATTTAAAATGTGGCTCATAAGTCATCTCATTCAATAGGACTGTTTCTCATTAAATAAAATGTAACTGCAAAAACATTATTGTCTTGCTATGCATATGTATTGTCTCCTACTTCTAGAAGGGAGATCAAGTGGCCAAACATTTTATCTGCTCTCTTGGATTTTTTTTCATATGCTCAAAATTGATGCAGTATACTAAAATGTATATGTTTGTAATATATAAAAAAAAAAATTATTTTGCAACCTCGTTTATTTTTGTGCATCTTTCTAGAGTAGTAGTTCTTGGGTCACAATCAGACTGTTTGAATTTAAAATATGGAAAATGAATATTTGGAAACCTCATGAAGTTATGAAGTTTGATATATTTTATCTGTGGAGGTAACTTCTCCACGTGAGTGATAATTTTGTGTTCCCAGGCTTGATGACCTCCTTCTGATGAAGGAGACATGCAGGGCTCCTTTATGTGGACCTTTAGCTTATGTAGATAGAAATACATATTCCTTCTCCAGCAACCAGCGCAAGTGTATTGCCTCTGTCTCCCCAGCCATTGTGTCCCTAGGCTTAACAGGGAAACATCAGCTGCGCAGCAGACCTTTTGGTTTTTTAAGAGCATAACTTGCTTCTAAATATCTTTGCTCTTGAGGTGCCAAGTAACTTATTGCTTTTCATTTTTTTTGAAGAAGAAAGAAGATTAGATATAGATGAGAAGCCTCTTGTTGTACAGTTAAACTGGAACAAAGACGATCGGGAGGGAAGGTTTGTTCTGAAGAATGAAAATGATACAATTCCTCCAAAGGTGAGTCCTTAAGGAGTATGATAGCAGTAGTAGCAGTCCCAAAATGTGTGGGACTTCTTGTATAAAAAAAATGTAATTTCTACTTTTCTAATTCCTGAAAACAACTGACGATTATGAGCTTTGATATCTGGAAAAGGTATTTGTAAATACTGAAAATGCACCTTCACAACATAACCTTATGGTGATCTTTCATGTGGCTTGTGATGCTTTGATCCATGTGGCTGTCTAGTATTGGAGCATGTAATGCCCATAGAACTTGAACCTTGCTTTGTTCTAACATGATGAATTTAAAATTTCCTTGTATACTCTGTGGTGCTAAACACTTAGAAGGTAGTCCTGCCTCTTGCAGAATGTTTAAAAGAGGATGCTAGAGGGAGTTAAATAACTAAAACTTGTTACCTCCCCAGGTAATATTCTGTTCTTAAAACTGATGGGAGGCTGCTTCCTTTTGGAGAGGGTTCACAGAATCACAGAATGTTAGGGGTTGGAAGGGACCTCCAGAGATCGAGTCCACCCCCCCTGCCAGAGCAGGACCATCTCGTCTAGGGCAGGTCACACAGGAACGCATCCAGATGGGTCTGAAAAGTCTCCAAGGAAGGAGACTCCACAACCTCCCTGGGGAGCCTGTTCCTGTGCTCTGGAACCCTTATAGTAAAGAAGTTCCTCCTCATGTTGAGGTGGAACTGCCTGTCCTCCAGCTTGTGTCCATTGCCCCTTGTCCTCTCGCAGAGTACAAGTGAAAACAGGTTGCCCCTTTCTTCTTGACATCCAGCCCTCATATATTTATACAATTAGATCCCCCCTTAGTCTTCTCTTTTCCAGACTGAAAAGCCCCAGGTCTCTCAGCCTCTCCTCATCAGGCAGGTGTTCCAGTCCCCCAGTCAGCCTCGTAGCCCTTCGCTGGACTCTCTCCAGTAGATCTCTGTCCCTCTTGAAATGGGGAGCCCAGAACTGGACACAGTACTCCAGGTGAGGTCTCACCAGGGCAGAGTAGAGGGGGAGCAGGACCTCCCTTGTTCTGCTGGACACACTTTTCTTAATGCACCCCAGGATCCCATTGGCCTTCCTGGCCACAAGGGCACACTGCTGTCCCATGGACAACTTGTTGTCCACCAGCCCTCCAAGGTCTCTCTCCATGGGGCTGTTCTCTAGCAGATCACCTCCTAACCTGTACTGGTGCATTTTATTACTCCTGCCCAGGTGCAGGACTCTGCACTTATTCTTGTTGAACCTCATTAGGTTCCTCTTTGCCCAGCTCTCCAGTCTGTCCAAATCTCTCTGAATGCCTGCACAGCCTTCAGGTGTATCAGCCAAACCTCCCAGCTTCATGTCATCAGCAAACTTGCTGAGCAGACACTCCGTACCATCATCGAGGTCGTTAATGAAGATGTTGAAGAGGACTGGACCAAGCACTGATCCCTGGGGGACTCCACTAGTTACAGGTCTCCAGCTGGACTTGGCACCACTGATCATCACCTGTTGGGCTCTCTTGTGCATCCAGTTCTCAACCCACCTCACTGCCTGTTCCTCTAGTTTGTATTTCCTGAGCTTGCTCAGGAGGATGTTATGGGGAACTGTGTCAAACATCTTGCTAAGGTCAAGGTAGACTACATCAAACGGTCTCCCTGCAGCTGCCCATTCAGTCACTGCATCATAGAATGCTATCAGCTTAGACAGTTAGGGTTGTTTTTTTCTTTCAGATGCAAAATGAGAGGCATGTGAGCATCTGCCATACAAAAGCTTTTTTCTATATTAGTCATTTAAACATTAAATTAGATGAGACTTTGGCTCCTGGAGTCATATAATTGTATATGTATTATATCTAACTCAGATGCTTATAGCTATGGAAAACATGCTGCTTGGTGTGGACTATCTTCAGACAAATTTTTTATCTTGGGCTGAGCAAAACATTTATTTTGCTCTTGGAGTTAGAGCTTGTTAATTTTAAAGGTGCTTTGAATGTAGGTACATGAGTTATTCTTATACACTTTTAACTAAAGGATGCACCTATGTTAGAAGTGGGGAGAGAAAATTAGTGATGTCTTGCACTACATCTACCAAACTTACTATTCTATTTATTGAATTAAGGAACCTTCAATATTCCTCCTTTATGTTCTTCTCTTCCTGATAGAAGCCAAAAAACCCTGCACCTTCTTTGTCTCATCTTCTATTATTTTCACTACAGAAGGCAAGTAAGCCTAAGATTACAGGTGTCTTGAGTATGTAAGGAGCAGGAATTGGAGAAAACTGGAATGACAAGTCAGAAAAATATGCCATAGGGGAAATGTCCTCTACAGTATTTTTCTTTCTGCAGTTTATTATCATCTGATGCTCCAACACAGCAGTCTTGAAAACAGATTATGTGCAGTGTTGTCTCATGAAGTATTTTTACTGGGAGGCAGAAGTTTGTTCCGTAGCCTTCAGTTAATCTTTGGGGCCAAGTAGATAGTAGACATAATTCAATTAAAAATCTGCTGTTTTCTTTTGCTTTCCTGAGCACAAGGTGATTAATCAGTTCATACCTGCTTTGGAATATGAAATTATTTTTGCCTTCCATGTTATTTCAGGGAGAGTTCGTCTCATCCCCATGTAATGGAGCATTGTTGCCTGGAGTGTTGGTTCTGTGTTAGCAATACTGTGTCTTAATCAGACTTATCTGGAAAGTTAAAGCCAGTACGAACTTTGCATTGGACTAAAAATGATGCAAGTTGTTTTATGCTCATTTATTTCAGAAGGCTCAGAGTAATGGCCCTGAAAAACAAGAAAAAGAGGGAGTCATTCAGAATTTCAAACGAACTCTCTCAAAAAAAGAAAAAAAAGAAAAGAAGAGGCGTGAAAAAGAGGCACTGCGACAAGCATCGGATAAGGAGGACAGACTCCTTCATGGGGATGATATGTAAGTGTCTTTGATCAGCTTGTATAACCATCTTGCTTTAGAGGATTCCTCCTCTCTAGCAAGTAAGTTACTGTTTCTTTCAAGAGTAATTAGTTGACACGGGTGTGATATCATCATAAACCAAACTACGTGAGGGCAATTTCTGTGGTTTGTATGTACCTTTTGCCACAAGGTTTTTTTCTGAAAACATGAAATAAGCTTTTTTTCTACCTCCTTGTCCTTGTACACAAATTGGCACGTGCTTACTGACATAGACTTTCCCCACTATGTTTATGTTTGAGCACTTCCTGTAGAATGGATTTATTCCTTTCCCTATTTTTGATTGTTCTGTCTTTTTGCCAGAAAAATTAGTATGTTTAGGTATTTGCATTTGGCTTAACACCTGACAATCAGTTTCTTTTTCTCTGAGATATATTTTGGGAGCCAGTCTTCTAGAGTCTTCAGTTCTTGCTCCCAAGTCTGTTGCACTTTATTCATTGAGACAGGGCAGGACATGCATTAATCCTTGGAGAGAAGACTGGAGCACAAGAGTCAGACATGAATAACTGTAGGTACAATTAAGAAGCTGAAAAAGGTCTGCATTAAATGAAACTTTGTACCAGATTGTGTAACTTCTATATGTAATACACCAGCAAAAAAAAAAAAAGGTGGGTTTTTGACATACCCAGAAAGAAAATGAATGATAAAACCTATTAAGTGACAACAGATTGTCAGAGATGAAAGAAGTTAGTTGACTGTGTGACATCTAGGGGATTTATTTGCTCAGCTCTCAGGTTTGGTGTTTTTTTGTTTGTTTTTTTTTTTTTTTAGTTTCAGCAGTGTTTTTCACGTGTAGTACTGCTCTACATGGTTACATTTGCAATGTTCAGTTATCAGCATGATTTTTCCAGCATTCTGTGCTGTTACTGAACCTAATCTTATCTTTTCAAATCAAAATAAAATTGTATTTAAGTGCATTTCCAAAATAAAAAGCACGAGCTGCAAGCACATGTGCAAACTCTACTTCCAAATGATTTGTAGTATTGTAAATAAGAACAAAGTTAGGGGTGTAATGCAGAGTTTCTTTAGTGCTTTTTTTTTATTTCTTTCTCTGTAAAAGGGGGAAAACCTTTTTTTTTTTTTTTAAAAAGTAAAAAACCCTTTTTTTTTTTTTTTAAAAAGTAAAAAACCCTTTTTTTTTTTTTTTTTTCTTTTCCACCTTTGAAAACTAGCAAACATCTGTACTTAACCTGCTTATTGCCTGTTTCGGGTGAGCATGGGTACATGAACAGTGTTAATCCTAACAAAAGTGAAGTTCATGTAGAAACCATCTTAAAATAATTGATCTACCTGTATGGATTCTACTTGGTTTTTATCCTTCATGATGTGCTGAGGATAAACGTATTCTAAGCTATTAATGGCAGCTTTTTCTTTTTATTTAAACTAACTTGGCAGCGAGAATTCTCGCCTTGCAGCTGAGGTTTACAAAGATATGCCTGAGACCAGCTTCACTCGCACAATATCCAACCCTGAGGTGGTTATGAAGCGCCGGCGACAGCAGAAGCTGGAGAAGAGGATGCAGGAATTTCGCAGTTCTGATGGCAGACCAGACTCAGGTACTCGCACCACTTCTGCTCAGGCTGTAAACACTAAGGCTGGGCAGGGACTGGCTGG